AGCCTCAGCTCCAGGATCCCTCAGCTGATGGAGGCGCGGGCTGCTGGGGGCGCCACGGCGGCGGAGACCTCCAAGATCGGGATCCTGCTCTACGATACGGAGGCCTTCGTCAAGCGGGTGCTCAAGCAGAAGTGGGTCTTCGCGGAGGTCGATGCCTGTGTCCTGCCATTCTTCCAGCAGGGGCTGCTGGTTTTTGCGGACGCCTACTTCCACGACATGGTGGACTGGCTCGTCCATCAGGGCGAGAGCAAGTTGGCCGACTTTGCGGCGGTGCGTGCCAAGTCGTGGAATGCTTGGGTCGAGGCGAGCTTTGTGCAGGGCGCGTCCAAGGCCCATCGCTTCTCCAAGGTGCAGGCGCTGCAGCCTGCGGAGGCTGAGGCCGCCGGTGTTCAGCCTCATGAGCGGGCCGATAGCTGCCTCGACTTCTGGTCCGGCATCTGGGCCACCCATGGCTGCTCGCGCTTGGAGCTGCCGCCTGAGGCTGCTAGCTGGCCGCTGCTGCCGTGCATCTCTCACGTCGAAGTCCGAGCTGCCGTGCGGAAGTTTTCCTCCCGGACTGCTGTTGGTCCAGGCAGCCTCGCGCCTTGCAGCCTCTGGCACCTCAGCGATGAGGCTCTGCAGGCCGTCGCCGTTCTGTTTATGCAGTGCGAAAAACTTGGGATGTGGCCGAGCGATCGCTTGGCCACCGAGTTAGTGCGCCTCGCCAAGCCTGATAAACCAGGCGAGCACAGGCTGATAGCCCTCATTCACTCTCTGATTCGGGTGAGGGGGAGGGTTCGGAGGCCTCTTTCGGTGGAGTGGGAGGGGAACCATCGTAGCGAGCTCTTGTGGGGCTCGGGCCCTGGGCGCTCTAGTCTCGATTGTGCCTTCAGTCACAATTTGGAGGCCGAAGTGGCACGCAGCATAGGTGAACACTGTGTGACGGTGCTAATCGACATGATTAAATGTTATGAATTAGTCCTGCTGTCGGCTGTGATGGCCGAGGCTGCTGCCGTGGGATACCCCCTTCGGCTTGCTTGGATGTTGGTGTGCAACTACCAGCAGCCTCGGCGCATCCGCGGGTTTGGGTCGCTCAGCCGCTCCTACAGGTCCTACCAGGGGATTCTCGCGGGGTGCAGCCATGCCACCACTCTAATGCAGGTCCTGTTGCTTAGGCCCCTCCAGAGACTCAAGAGGGAATTCGATTTTGTGGTGCCCCGAGGCCTCATGGACGACGTTTCGTTCCAGTGGATAGGGGCAGTGGCCAAGTATGCAGGTGTAGTGTTTAATGCTGTGGTGGCCTTCGCCAGGTATACCCGCCCGCTCGGCTTCTTGCTCCAGGCTTCGAAGTCGGGGTACCTGGCGTCGTCGACGGAGGCGGCCAAGGCCGTCAAGGCCCGAGCGTACAGGCTCAGGCTGCAGCAGTTTCAGACGGCCAGGAACCTAGGTCACGACACGTTTGCTGGCGGCATCCCCCGCAGAGCCCTCGAAAGAAAAAGGTTGGGTACTGTGTTGGGGCGCCGGGGGCGGCTTCGGGCCCTCAGGAAGGCCGGGGGTCTCAAGGTGAGGACTCTGTGGCGCACCGGTGTTATGCCGTCAGGTAGTCATGGAGCGGGGGTGGTAGGCCTCACGGACTCCACCCTCATGAAGTTGAGGTCGTTTGCAGGCGAGTTGGTAGGAGCTAGGCGAGGCCTCGCGTCGCTCACTGCGTATACTTGCACGCAGAGAGACAGGTTTTATGATCCCACCTTCGACGCCACCTGCCCTCTGGTTGTCAGATATGCGTGCTGGCTGTGGGATGGTCGGACCTCCCTCTCTCGCCTCCGGACTGCGGTCGTGGCCATCCGTGATCGGTTGGGTCAGCAGGGGTCTTGGAGGCAGTGTTTCGGTCCCATCTCTGCTGTGCTTCTCACGCTTCGTCGCATCGGCTGGGAGTTAGAGGCCCCTCACCTCCTCCTCTCGGACCGTGGCGAGCACATCTCTCTGTATGACTGCGCTCCCAGCGAAGTTCGGAGCCTCGTTCGAGACGGGGTTGAGCGTTGGCTTTGGCGTAGGGTCCCCTTCCACTGGCCAGAGGCGACGGGATCCGAGTTTTGTTGGGCTCGAGCGATGCGCCTGTCCCTCCTGGCTCTCCCAGCGGGTGCCCATCAAGGTTCGATGCGCGCCCTGTGGTCTGGAGGGTTGTGGCCGCCTGCTCGCAAATTCGACGCGGGCCTGGCTCCGTCAGCTCAGTGCACCTTCTGTGGAGCGGAGCGAGGGTCGATGGGCCACCAGTTTTTCGATTGTTCCAGTGCCTTCGCCTCGGGCGAGGATTCGGGGGATGGCATGGGCTTCCCTGAGGACGTTTGGCAGCACAGGCAGGCCTTGCGGGAGAAAGGGAGGAGTCTGGGGTCGGCCGATTGGGATGTCGTGTCGTCGCTCTACGGGGTTCCCTCCCTCCCTATCCAGTTGCCTCCTCCCCCAGCTCGGCCGCCTGTGCTCACCTGGGGACTCGCGGAAGGTCCTTGGGGCAGGTTTCGGTTCACGGACGGGTCTGGGCTCCATAGCTCGGTGCCCGAGGCCACTAGATGCGGCTGGAGCGTGGTTGAGATTTCTGACGATGGATGGCCATTGAGGGCCAGATTTGGCGGTCTCCCAGGGCGTTTTCAAACGGTCCCCAGGAGCGAGAGGTGGGCGGGGCTAGATGCCATCGCCCTCGGCCCCTCGGGAGGCCTGCCACCTGTCATAATTAGCGACCACCTTTCGTTTGTCAATGAAGGGCGAGGCTGGGACCCCAACCTTGAGTGCGGTACCTCAGCCCACGCGTCGATTTGGCGCAAAATCTTCCTTGTCTGCTCCCAGCACGCTCTGCGTCCTGAGTTCCACTGGACTCCTGCACACTTGTCGCTCCAGGGGTTAATCGATCAGGATGCGGGCGCTGGTGATATATGGCGTTTCATGGGTAATGCTTGGGCCGATTTCTTTGCCAAGCTCGGAGCCCAGGACATCGCTGTTGCTGATGTGGCGGTTGCGTCGCTCCAGGCCGCCATAAGCGATTGCAAATTGTCGTGCCAGTTTCTCTCACGAGCCGTCCAGATAATCTGTGCTCGTCCCGAGGTCTCCCAGGCGCCTGCTGCTCCAGTGCCGGCTCGGGCCCCAGGGCCCCGTGCGCCCCAGCTGGTGTTAGTGGCTCATGACACCGTGCCCCTGGCTCCTGGGTCCTCGGCGGTTCAGTGCAGGCTCTGTCTGGCCGTTGCTCGGACCCCAGCCAGTTGCAAATCGCTGCTGAAACCAGGGGCGCGGTGCGAGCCTGGCCCAATGCTGCGCCAGCTAGCGGCTGCTACCGAGCGGCTGGGCTGGCGGCAGCACGTCTCCGGGGAGGGGGAGGCTGCCCTTGCCGCTGCTGCTGCCGCTATGGAGGCGGAGGCGGGGGGATACTTGTTCGAGTGCGACGGGCACAGGATCCACCGTGCAGGGCCTTTCCTGTACTGTGGCCGCTGTGGGGCCCGAGTGGCTTTGGGGTCTCCCAAGTTGGAGGCCCTTGGAGCCCCGTGCCCGCCGGCACCCCCGAACCCAGCCCGTCGGCGAGCCAGGGATTGGCTTGCCGAGGGCAAACATCCAGCGTCAGGCGTTCCTTTCTGACTTGTGATGCGGGGGGGAGGCCTGTCGGGTGCCGCCCAGTTCGCCTGAGCTGGGTTGGTGCCGTCAAAACATCGATGGCCTCCCTCCGCACCGTGTAAGTGTGCAATTATCGGTCGAATGCTTCCGGCCTGGAGTGCTGGTGATTTATCACGCTCCCCCGTTTCATTTTATATAGTCGCCGTCGCGTTCCCGGATGCTTCGACGTTCTATGCTGCGTCCTGCGTCCTCCCTCCTCCCTCCTCCCTCCTCCCTCCTCCCTCCCTCCCTCCCTCCCTCCTCCCACCTCCCGCCTCCCGCCTCTCTCCTCCCTCCTTCCCTCCCTCCCTCCCTCCCTC